GTTAAAGAGTTTTCAGGATTGCATTGGACTGAACGGCAACAATCCCTATAAGCTCGTGTATCATGACAAGAACATACAGCCTGCTGATACGCTTGAAAAGTTGGGTATCAAGGTAAATATTTTATGTGACTATTCTATTATATAGAAATCGTTGAAAAAGAATAAATATGTATACAATGATAATGAATCATAGTTTTTAATTTAGAAAGGTGATTTAGTCGAGGTATTAGGTAGTTACTTTAAAAAATTTAATAATTTTTTTTCAATCAGAGTTTGCATTTCTAAAGAAAAAGTTCAATGCTAATATACCTGAAAATGGGTTATCTAGAATTTGTAAAAATCTATGTGAACATAATGAACAAAAAAACAATAGAATTAAATACAAGGAGAGATGACACAATTAAAGAAGTTAAGCAAATGATTCAGGATAAAGAAGGCGTCCCCCCTGACCAACAACATCTTGTTTTTTATAGAGAATTGTATGATGACCATACCTTGTTACATTATAATATCAAAGAAGATTCTACATTGAATCTAGAATATGAAACAATAATGATCTACGTAAACTTAATGGATGAAACAATCATAGAATTGGATGTCAATAGAAGTTACACCATCGAACAGGTTATTCGTATGATCCAAGATAAAGAAGGCATTCCTTCTCATCAAATAACATATTTTACTATTGATGACGGACTTACGCATCGCTATGATATCACCTTATCTCGCTACAACTCCCTTAAAACCTTAGCAAATTATGGGATTAAGAATGAGTCTACACTTAAACTATTTCATTATAAACCATTTTCTGGTTCTTTGTATGTGAAAATACTACGCAAAAAAACGACAACTGTGCAAGTAGATTCGAATGATACCATTGAACAAGTTAAACAAAAGATTCAGGACAAAGAAGGAATTTCTCCTGATCAACAATACCTCTTTTTTGCTAGCATGCAATTAGAAAATGGGCGTACCTTATCAGATTATTTCATCCCAAAGGAGGCTACTGTTCATCTTGTAGTTAAAGAAATCAGTACTCATAGATATGCTGGCGATATATATGTGAAAACACTAACGGGAAAGACAATAAATTTTTATTTAGAACTTGATACCACCATTGATGAAATTACACAAAAGATTCTGGACAAGGAAGGAATCCCTCCTGATCAACAACGCCTTATTTTCGCTGGCAAGCAATTAGAAGAAGGGAGAACTTTGGCAGATTATAATATTCAAATTGAGTCTACTCTTCATCTTGTGCTTAGATTACGTGGTGGAATGCTTCAGGAAACCAGTGGTCGCATAGAATTTGACGCACTGCCACCACTCACTCAATATACTCTAACACCTGAAGAACGTTTACAAAATGGAATTCATGCTGGTATTGCCTGTAATTATTGTGGTGAACGTGAATGGAAAGGGACAAGGTTAATATCCATTGTATTTAATGAGCTTGAAAAGATATTCCATTTTATTCATTAATATATAAATTTTTTCACTATTTACAGATATAAATGTTCTGAATGTTCTGATTATGACTTGTGCTTTGATTGTATCACAATGTCCGACCTAATTCATAACGCGCAACATTCTTTTCTGAAAATATTGAATCCCTTAGATCCAAAGAAAGTTTCAAAAGATACTTCTATTGCTTATGTTACCCCAATACTACCAGACACGAAAGAGAAATTATTAGCTCTGCTACGCGAAGAAGAACGGCGAAGATTTTCGTCTGAAATTCAAAAAAAATATTATGATGTTGGGAGCGATCCTACAAGTGGAAAGGATTGGATGGATGTTACTGATCAAATGCAGCATGAGTTGGTTCGAGAATTTGGATATTCGGACGAAGCAGTACAATTGTTGCGGCGTGCACCACAACTTTATCCGGGTAAGTAATGTACTCCTTTGTTTATGTAAATGATATTTAATTTTAATATTTCTTTCCTCCCATCACATCAAGATGATCCTGAATTTCGTACAACTCAAGTATATGTTCGCAATAATGTTGCCAACATTGGAAATCTCACTGAAGGAATGCTAGCACCTGATTGTCCATTAGTTCCAT